AGAGGGTGTGACATGACAGTGCGGCGGTACTCGCGAGGGGCGTGCCGAAATTTTCGCAGGCCCGCGGGCGCATGGGCTCTGTCTACACGGGGCCGCGGTCCTCGTGATGGACGCGCCGAAATTGACACCGCCCAACCTTCGGACGGGGCCACAGAGGACCGCAAGGAAATCTGCCCATGGGGGCGCGATCCGCGTGAGGAGTGTGTCTGACGGGCGCGGGACCGCATACGGACGGGCCCCCTGGAGCCGCAGGTGAAGCCCCCATGGGGCCACAACCCTCGTGACCTCGTGAAGGGTGTGCCGGGAAACGGCGCGGGCCCGCACGCGGACGGGCCACGCGAGGCCGCGGGTGGAGCGACCGACCGTGGGCCACGAAGCGTGTCAGGAGTGCGCGGAGAGGAGCCCGCATGCGATCGTGCCCGCTGAGAGGGGCCACAGGAGGTGCCCCCTGACAGGGGGCACGGAACGTGCGAAAGGTGCGCAGAAATCGGCACGCGGACAGCGGGAAGAGCGGGGACGCAGGCCGAAAGCGCCGCGGCCCAGGAACGTCGCAGCCCGAGAGCGTCCTGCCGACTCGAACTCCACGGCGGGTTGGGCCCTGCAGCCAGCCCGCACAGCAAGGGGGAGCAACGTTCCAAGGCTGACCCCTGCATCCTTCGGTCGCGCCCAGCGCCAGCAGCGCTTCGTGTCCACCGCCATCAGTCGGCGCGGCCCCTCTGAGGCTGCACAGGGGTCCTCCCCCCACGGCCCATCCTGGGCCGCTTTCGACAGCCGCGCCCCGCCCGCAGAGTGTCGACGTGGCCTTCCAAAGCCCCATGCATCCTTGTCGCACGTCGTTCTCATACGGGTTTGGACTGCAGGGGAGGAAACGGGTTCGGGGGCCGGGGGGGCTCAGAGGCTCAGGGGGTGGGCTCGGGAGGGAGGGGCGATAGGCTCCGGGGGGGGGGATAAGGGGCGGGGGACAATGGATATGGGGAGGATAGGCTCGGGGGGGGGGGTAGGGCAAGATAGCCCTGGGGGGGGGGGGGGGGGGGGGGGGGGGGGGAGGGGGGGGGGGGGGGGGGGCAAAACTCTGGCCTCGATCGCCAGGACCCCGCTCCGCTGGGCCCGCTGCCCGCGACGCGCCGCCCAGGGAAGGGGGGCGGCGAGCGCCACGGCGAGGAGGGGCCTCCCCGGGGCCGCCTCTGCGCAGCCCGCTCGGGGCCGGGCCCGTTGGGGGGGCGTCCTCGGAGCCCCTGCCGGAGAAACCCGCACGAGCGCCCTGCGCCCCGTCGAGGGCAGGAAGAGGGGAAGGAGGAGGAGGAGGAGGTGGAGGACGACGACGATGACGATGACGATGCCGATGCCGATGACGATGCCGATGCCTTCGTCGAGGACAGGAAGAGGGGAAGGAAGGAAGAGGGGGGATCGACCGTAGCTGAGGGCGCAGCAGCTCATCCGAGCCCAGCAGTCAGGTGCGTGCAAGACGATAGCGAGGCTGCGCGCTGCTGGGTCCGTGAGCTGGTCCCCGTAGGTCGCCACAGCTTTGGAGGAAGGGGGATGAGGAGCAGGAGGAGGATGAGGAGAAGGAAGAGGAGGAGCGCAATGATGCCTTGATAGCGTGCGGCGTGGGGAATAAGAACTGAGAAACGGGAAACCCGCGGCGCTGCCGATTCAAAGCGAGGGCCGAATAACACAGGTGTGTATGTGTGTGGTGTGTCTGTGTGTGTGTCTGTGTGTGCGTGCGTGTGTGTGTGTGTGTGTGTGTGTTTGTGTGTGTGTCTGTGTGTGTGTGTGTGCGTGTGTGTGTGCGTGTGCGTGTGTGCGTATGTGTGTGTGTCTGCATGTCTGTCCCTGTGTCTCTGTGTGTGGCGTGTGTGATTGTGTGTGCGTGTGCATGTGCGCGCGCGTTAGCGTGCGTGTGCGTGTGCGTGTGCGTGTGCGTGTGCGTGTGCGTGTGTGTGTGTGTGCGTGTGCGTGTGCGTGTGCGTGTGCGTGTGTGTGTGTTTTTGTGTGTGTGCGCGTGCGCGTGCGAGCGTGCGTGCGTGCGTGCGTGTGTGCGTGTGTATGCGCGTGTGTGTGGTGTTTGTGGTATGTGCGTGTGCGTGTGCATGTGCGTGTGCGTGTGCGTGCTTTGTGTGCGTGTTTTGTGTGCGTGGGTGCGTGTGCGTGTGCGTGTGCGTGTGTGCGTGTGCGTGTGAGTGTGCGTGTGCGTGTGCGTGTGCGTGTGCGTGTGCGTGTGCGTGCGCGTGCGCGTGCGCGCGCGTGTGTGCGTGTGTGTGTGTGTGTGCATGTGCGTGTGCGTGTGCGTGTGCGTGCGTGTGCGCGTGTGCGTGCACGTTCGCGTGCGTGTGCGCGTGCGTGTACGTGTGCGTGTGCGTGTGCGCGTGCGTGTGCGTGTGCGTGTGGGTGTAAGTGTGAGAGTCCGTGTGCATGTGTGTGTGCGTGTGCGTGCTCGTGTGTGTGGTGTGCGTGTATGTCTGTGTGTGTCAGTGTGTGTGTGTGCGTGCGTGCGTGTGTTGTTGTGTGTATGTGTGCACTTGCGTGTGTAGTTGTTGTGTGAGTTGTGTGTGCGTGTTCGTTGTGTTGTGTGTGGCTGTGGTTGTTGTGTGTTGTTGGTGCGTATGTATTTCTGTGTGTGTCTGCGTGTGGTTGTTGTGTGTGGGTGCGTTTGTGTATGTGTATGTGTTTGTGTGCTTGTGTGTGCTGTTGTGTGTATGTGTGTCGTGTGTCTGCGTGTGTGTGGGTGCTTTTTATTGTGTGGTTGTTGTGTGTGTGTGTGTGTGTGTGTGTCTGTCTGTCTGTCTGTTTGTGCGTGTGTTTTGTTGTGTGTGGGCGTGTGTGTGTGGTTGTGTGTGGTTGTTCTGTATATGACATACTGTATGTCTGTGTGTGTGTCTGTGTATGCCTGTGTGTCTGAGTATGTGTGTATGTGTGTCTGTGTGTGTCTCTGTGTGCGGTGTGTGTGTGTGTGTGTGTGCGTGTGCGTGCGTGCGTGCGTGCACGCGTGTGTGTGTGTGTGTGTTGGTGCGTGTGGTGTTGTGTGTGTGCGTCTGTGTGCGTGCGCATGTAAGTGGGGTGTGTGCGTATGAGTGCGTGTGCGTGTGCATGTGCGTGTGTGTGTGTGTGTGTGCGTGAGTGTGATTGTGAATGTGCGTGTGCGTGTGCTTGTGCGTGCGAGTGAGCGTGTGCGTGTGCGTGTGTGTGTGTGTTGTATTGTGTTGTGGTGTGTTGTGTTGTGCTCTGTTGAGTAGCACTGTGTTGTTATGTGTGTAGTGTAGTGTGTGTGTGTGTTACGTTGTGGTGTGTTGTGTTGCGTTTGGTTGTGTACGTGTGTGTTGCGAGAGTGTGCGTGTGCGTGTGCGTGTATGTGTGTGTGCGTGTGCGTGTAGGTGTGCGTGTGCGTGTGCATGAGCGTGTGCGTGCACTTCTGCGTGTACGTTTGCGTGTGCGTGTGTGTGCGTGTGCGTGTGCGTGTGCGTGTGGGTGTGGGTGTGGGTGTGGGTGTGTAATGTGGGTGTGCGACGTGTGTGTGTGTGTGTGTGTGATGTGAATGTGTGTGTGTGCGTGCGTGTCTGTGTGTGCGCGTGTGCCGAAATTTCGGGTTGGGTTGGGGTGGTTTGGTGGGTGGTGAACCATGGGGGGCGGTCGGTCCGAGGCCACAGGTGGAGCCACCCGAATGGGGCACGGCACGTGCGAAGGGTGTGCCAAGATCGTGCGGGCGGTTGGGCTGAGGCTGCGGGCGGAGCTCCCCTTATGAACGCGCAAAGAGCGAGGCGCGTGCCGAGAACAGCGCGGGCACCGTGCGCCATGTGGGCAGCTGGACTGAGGCCGTGGGTGGGGCCCCCTGAGCTGCACAAGTTGTGTGATGGTTGCCGAAGTTGGCGCGGAAAGAGATGAGCGGCGCTGCTGATTCTAAGACAGCGGCCCGACACACAGGGGCTGGCAGGAGGAAGAGGAGGAGGAACACGGGGAGGAGGAGGCGTGTGAGACGCGCAGCGCTGCGGGTTCAAACCGAGAACTCAACAACCAGGAGGCTTAGGAAACGTCGTGCATAGCTTCATGAACTCCAGCCTCGGTTGTTTCTGCTTCAGAACCTGGGACAATGGCGGCGGAGGGGCCCAAGAAGCGCTCAATATGGCACAAGACCGCCTCAAGAAAGCTACACGACGGCTCCAAGACCAGTCTGGCCCACAGCCTCGAGATCCAGATAAAACGCCCAGGAGGTCACCGCGAGAATCCAACCCAGACACCAAGAATCCTCCAATAATCGCGCAATCAATCCCACAGGCTCAGAGCAACAAGCATGCAATGTTACGCCTGAACCACGCTCTAGTACTACCCAAGGGTAGCTTTGTACGGCTCCAGGAGGTGCCATATCGAGCCAATTCGGAGACAGGGGTAGGGCCACCCTACATAACGTGGATGCTGCGTTGGCACGGTTGCGGGGCTTGCCACGAACAGATGCATATGGCAATCGTCGATATTACCAACATCCTCTCGCGTTTAGCGGTGTCACCGCCACCATCGCTATCAGTATCGTGATCAAGGCTGCCATGACTGCCATGCTCGTCGTTGCGACGAACGAATACCCACCGACAGATAATTAGTGGGCGCTCGGTTTTGATGATGATGAGAAGGAGGAAGAGGAGGGTGATGATGATGATGATGCTAATGCTGATACTGATGATGATGGTGATGATGCTGGCGGTGATGATGATGATGATGATGATGATGATGATGATGATGAGGATACTGATGATGATGATGATGATGATGGCGGTGGTGATGATGACAATATGGTGATGATGATGATGATGGTGATGCTGATGATGCTGATGATGCTGATTGTGCTGCTGATGATGATACTGGTGATGGTGATGGTGATGATGATGCTGCTGCTGATTATGATGAGGAGGATGATGATGATGATGATGATAATGATGATGATGATGATGATGATGGTAATGATGATCAAGATGATGATGCTGAAGATGATGACGACGAGGTGGAGGAGGATTATGCTGCTGATGCCGATGGTTCTGATAATGGAGTGGGGCATGGTCAGCATGGCCATGATAGACGGCAACGGGCCTCTAGTCCACGACATGGCGGGCAAGCGAGGCCGATGGAGACGTGTCCTCCGGCCCGTCTGCCCGCTGGCCAGCCGCGTCAGGCGCGAGCCACGATGGTGCAAAGCTGCGCCACCGCGGGGGTGGGGCTCGGAATCACCTGGGAGCCCCCATCAGAATAATTTGGAACGGTGCAGTTGCAAGGTGAACGCTGGGGATGGACCCTCGAAGCGCTCGCCAGATAACTGCCTTCGCTCTCTCGATATTGCAACGCTTGCGCCGAAAACGTCAACGTCGGACCTCAGACGCTCGCCTGTGCCAGGAGACCTGCAATAATAGAAAAAGCTCCTCCACGCTGCTCCCGGGCAGGCTTCGAATTTCAAATGTGCACACGCCACGATCAAACACTACAAGCTGGCACCGAATTGGCGGGAAACGCCGGCTTAGGAATCCAGTAACCACCCTGACCCGGGTCGCCCGTACTGTACCCATAGACGAGCCAAGTACCATGCTGAATGTATGCCCAGACAGGTTTCTTGGTGATGGAACTGTTTCCCAACCCACCGATCATGATGGTACCGTTGGCTCGCGCACACACAGCGACGGCCAATTTATCCACCCCAGTCTTCTTCTCTAGACTTTTGGCGTAAGCAGCATAGGGGTGGACTGCGGTCCCAGTCGTCCCCGCAATTGCCACTACAGAGCTCTCCCATTTGCTGGATCCAAGGAAAAACGTCGGCTGCCCTTCGTACGCTCCCGGGAGTTGGTACAAGGAGAACTTGTCCCCGCCGACGCCAAACCAAGAGTCGCTGACCCTCATCTGGTCGAATGTGGACACGGTCTTCATGTACATGTAGTAATTCGGCCATTTCGCGTTGGACAAGGTGAAACTCTGAGCAATAACCTTGTTCTTCTCCATGTAGCACGTTCCGTTGGCGCTTGAGCAGCCAGCGTCACAAGTGCAATAACCACCGCTGCATTTCGCATTGCGGGCAGCGGTGCACGCCTGGACGCTGCACGAGCCGCCCGTGTATCCGTAGCATGTGGGCCCAGAGCTCACGCCCGGGGCTGTGGTGTTGCTGCTGCCGTGGCTCTCGGACGTCGCCTTGCGCTTGGACTCCGTCGTCTGCAGCGCCGCGAGGCCATCGGCCTCGTCCTCCTCGTGCACCGCACAGGCTGGCTCCTCGGGCTGTTCGGCAGTGCCGGTGGCGGTGGTGCGGGCGGCGACCAGGGCCAGGATGGTCCACCGGGCGAGCATCTGATGATTGTTGGCGGCTGCGCACGAGACGACTATCGCTGTAAATTGCGGTTCGGACTCGGTGCGGTGCGTGCCCTTGACCAGACTTGGGCCAAAAGGGTCACACGCATGGCCTCTCGGAGTCGCACCTTCTTCCCAGCAAGCATTATTGCATTCGCTGCGCCAAACAAGAACAGTCACATTTACTGTACCTTCAGATTTTAGGTCCTGATACGAAAAGAAACGGGTCCTAGGCGAGATGGCATAGCCAACTTACGCCGCGGTTTACACGGACCGCCAGCGCGGCACGCCACATTGGAAACGAAGGCGCTTACGCGCGACCTTACGCGGCCAGCTTCCGCGCCAATGTCGGGCACAACCGAACCCATTTTGCTGCGTCGCTCACCTGAGCCACCAGCGCCACAGCGGGAACCTGAACGGACAAGAACGGGAAGCGTCCTTTGTGTCCTGGGCTAATGCGATATCCGCCATGCTCCTGCATGTCCTGCCATGCCAATGCGTGTTCAACCGTGTTCCTGATTGCTCTGCTGAACTCCTGTGTATTATGTGTGTTCTGCCGTGCTCCTGCGTGTTAAAGTTAAAGTTAAAGACGGGGCCTTCAAAGCAAAGGGAAAGACACGGACAGGGCCAGACGGGACCCGCGTTCCCGAGAGACGCCGAGTCCCACAGGCACCGAGGGCGGCGGAAGCCTGCTCCCAAATGGAGCAGCAGGCGCGAGCCACAGCGATGCAACCTTTCACTCACTCACTCACGGACAGGCCGCCACGGCGCGCCCCGCGGCGTCGTACCCTGCGGCCCTCCAGGGCTCCGCCCGCAGGGCCAACCGCGGCGGCGAGCTCCTCATCGACGACCCCGATCTCGCCGAGGCTCCTCTCTCTCGCTGCAGCAGAGCGCCGCTTGGGTCGGCTGGCGGCGGCCGCCGCGACGGCCGCGCCCGAGGGGCCTCCTCCTGGGTCTGCAGCCACTCGCGGCTCCGCAGCTGCCGCTGGGGCGCTGTCTGCACTGCCCACCGTGGCCGAGGGGTCTGCAGCCGGCTCCGCTGCAGTGCCGAGCCACTCCAGGCACCGCTCCTGCGCTTGCTCTGGCACTGGATCCTGCGACCGCAGCGTAGGGATGCCCTCTCCTTTCACTCTGTGCCTGGCAGCTCGCGACCCCTCCTGCCTCCTGCCACCAGGATGGAGTCCTCGTAGCCACAGGCTACGCTGGTTCCTGCCGCCCTTGTCGGTCTCGTCGCCTGGGCGCCGCTCCTTGAGGCGAGGCTTGACCCCTGAGCGGCCGCCCAGCGTCATGTAGGCGCCACGCTTGGAGCACGCCACGAGCTCCTGCGTGTCCTCACCTTCTCCAGCGCAGGCGTAGGACAGGGCATGTCCCAGGATGCTGAAGGCTACTGCACTGGCCGAAAGGGCTGCCGAGCTGCTGCCTGTCGAACGGGCGCTCTCCAGGCGCGGCCGCTCGGCCGACGGCCCCTCGCCCTTGGCCTGCTCCGCCGCGTGAGACCCCTCGGCGACAGCGAAACGCGACTGGCGCCGCTCGGCAGCAGGAGGGAGCCCTTCGCCCTGGCCTCGATGCATTGCCCCGAGGAAGACGGCCCACCAGATCCAGCACCCGATGTTGACCTCCTCCACCGCTGGCCGTGCGAGGGTGGCGAGCTTCCAGGCTGCAGCGCCCTCGCCGTCCTTGGCCGTCCGCTGCGGGCCGCGGTCGCTCCCGACTGCGCCGTGGACCTCTGCCACCTGGCTGCCGTCGCCGTCGCGGCGCGCTGCGGCTCCGCCCTCACAGCGCCAAGCGCCGAACAACGGCTCCAGCGTCGCGCCGTCGAGGTACAGCCTGCCGTCGAGCTTCCCATCGGACGGCCTGCTGCCACAACGTATCCCCATGGCGTCGGCGCGGCGGCCCTGCGGTGGCCAATGCGCAGGCAGCCAGCGGCCTCCGTCGCACCGCTGGGCCTCGTGCGCAGGGCCGCCGAGCTGGCGGTGCCACAAGATGCCTCTCTCTGCTCCGCAGCAGCGTGCTTGCCCCTGTTCCCGTGCAACGAGGAGCCTGGCCTGCGCCCAGTGCGCGTTGGAGATGCGGTCCCCCAGCAGGCGGGTGCCGTGGCAGAGCTTCCGCGCCTCGTGACGAAAGGATGCGCTTCGAGTGCCTGGGCCAGCCCCCCGTCCCAGCTCCTGAGGCCCGAGGTACCTGAGGTCGAGCTTGTCGCCGAGGTCCGCGATCATGCACCGCTCGGACTTGAAGTGCCAGTCGATCCTCGCACGGGTCAGCATATCCGCGTCGAAGGGGGGGGCGCAGTGTTTCCATGGCCCGTCAGTGCTGGCGCGGCTGGTCTCCGCCACCTCCAGCCCCCGCTCCATCGTCATATGCGGCAGCTCGCCTTCCTGCAGCAGGCCTGCCTTCATCTGGACTGCGCGGCCATCTTCGAGGGCTGCAGGGTCCAGGTTACGCCTCCTCCTGAGCTCAGCATATCGCATGCGAAGCACTCGCTCTGCATGGGGAGCGCTCCTGCGCTGCACCTGGCCGTCGGCCGCCAACTGTGCAGCTCGCCGTCCGCGTTGCCCGTGACTGCGCGCCCGCGCATCCCGCTGGCCGCGGGGCCAGCCTTGTGGATCGGGCCCAGCCTGCGCGCTCGACGAAGCACTCCTGCAGCACGGACTCTGCCCTCATGCGCTTCCCACTTCGCGAACTGGCAACCTGGGCTGGGGCTCGGAGCGAGGAAGGTCGCCTTGGCAGCACTGAGGGGCAGGTGCTGACCACGGAGGCGGCGCGCCACCCCCAGCCCTGCTCCGCCGACCCAAGCGACCGCCAGCTGCTCCGTGCCCACGGCCTGCAGCGCGATACCGCTGTCGACACTGCGGGCTACACCCAGCGGCCTGCCGCCCGCTGGGGCGGCGTGGAGGGTTGCCAGCCCAGGCAGTGAGGCTACACGCCCGCCCCGCCAAACCAGTCCCGTTGGCGCTGAACGTCTCGGTGGCCATGCCCACGACGGGAATGAACCGCTGTCTCTGGTGGAGCACCAAGCCGCCGAAGGAGTGTTATAGTTGGCTTTGTAGTTTTAGTAGGATGGTGGTCCTGTGGTGCGGCAGTTGGGCTGTAGTATTGGTACCCGCACGTGGCATACTGCGAAGTAATGATCTACAGCTCGCTGCACCGAAGGATCTCCCAGGTCGACACACGTGGTCTTATCTAAGTTGCCTCCTGAGGAGAGACCCCTTCAGAAGGCAAGCTCTGAAATGCCACCCTCACCTCCACAAACCCCCAACATATCCGCGCAATTGTTGCGACCAAAACATAGAGTAGCCACTATGCTGTATATGTCCGCGTGTGTGTCGGGCATAGATGTGGGAGGGTAAGAAACAGGTGATCTTCCTTATCTGAGCCAATCAGCTCGAAAGGGACGTCAGTGCTCCAGGTCGCCGTAAGATCCTGTCCGAGTCCTGACAAGTCGCCACCGCAATCATCGTTTCCATCTTCAAAGTGCTTTTTGATGCGGCGAGGCTTGATGTCTGCCTCCTTTTCGGCTTTGAGCCTTTCCTTCTGTTTGATACGCGACTCCGCAGGTAAGACTTGCTCGTCCTGTTCACCGGTCTGTGTGCCCAACGTCGTTGATGAGTGGGTACCTGCGTCAATCGCTAGAGTCGGGAGGGGAGAAGGACAGTCATCTAAGATGACGCGTCTAGGTTTCTGTAGAAATTGAGTAGGCTCGTTTCCGAGCATGACCGGTTCCTCGGGCTGCCAGTACATCCGTGTACTGATGTTGGCAACCCCTGCAGGTAGTGGTGCATGCCAATCATATCCCGTTGGTTGATCGGCTAATGCGATATCCTGAATAACCGCGTTGGTATCCAGGTTAATCGTGACACGTCGGATTACATCAGACCATTTCGGTCCTCCTTTATTGGTGGTCACGTAATGATGTATGCTGTGATCCGTACGTGTGTAGGTATTCAAATATATAGGCACGTTTCCGTGCGTGGTGTTGCTTCCCAGGATTTTGTCGTTGAGGTGACGGATAAGTGCGATGCGTGTCTGTGCTCTCCATTCAGCATGTCGTACCGTTTGGCCGTGCCAATCCAAGACGTGTTGTGGTAGCGCCAATTTGCACGCACATGCCCACAACTTAGAGCTAATCGGTATCGATGAGGCTACCTGCATATAGGTGCCGCTCGGTGTATTGTCTTGCATATCAAACCTAATACCGGAATGACATAACCGCATCCGTACCACCGTCAACTTAAGATCTTCCAGAGTATCACGTATTGGAGATAACTTCCAAACGTATCCTGGGGGGGCAAACACTATAATTTGCATGCGGAGCTTCTTGGCTTTCGTCAGAAGGTTCTAAATGCGCGGCCAGTGTGGGGCTACTCTTTTACCTGGGGTTCGTACGTACCAGCCACCCGGGGTACTAACCCATATTAGAGTATAATCCCCACTGATCACCGCACCCAGGTAATCTGTGCCCACAGTTGTCATGAGCTCATTGTGGGAAATGAGATCACAGGTGTATCCTCGGGTGCGGAGGTCAGCGCAAGCCTCTCTCGTATCTTCGATAACGAAAGCTCTTTTACTATGGCAGGTTGCCCCGCTGTCCTTGTTACCCCCCGGCCTCTCGGCTATCAGGCAAGGCGACGAGGGGGCAGCGTCGCCCTGCCATCTTCAAGATAAAGAAGATGCACCTGCAACATCTGCCAGCATCTGGGCTTCCCTCAGATGTTGGAGCTCTGCACTGCAGCGCGCGGTAGCCTCAGAGGCGGATTGCTCCGCAAACGTGGCCAGCATGGATGGATTATCCATCAGCTGCTTCAATAGGCCTTTCGACCTTGCGTCGTTGACCGTCTGCAGCTCACGATTCGTGTATCCCATCACTATCTTCCGGCGTGACCGTGCAGCATCCATGGATACAAGTCCGCCATGCTGGGCCAGTGTCCTGGCTACGATGAAACCGAACGTCTTCAGATCGTCGATGCTGTCGCCTCTCATCGTCGCCTTGGCGAGTATCGCGAGCAACCCTTGAGGCAGGTTTCCCCGCAATTGTTGGCGCTCTTGCGTAGGGGGCGGCTCGCCTGTCAGCACCGTCTGGAACGATGTTGTACTTGTACTCGAGGCGGGTTGCCCCGCGGCTCCAAATCGATCACACCTGATTGACAGATGTCCTGATGGCAACTTCGCTGTCGGCATGATCTTGGGGCCCTCGGGGAGTTCCATCTTGACCTGTCCCTTCCCAGGGAATATCAGCTTCTCCTGGCCTCGCTCGAGCACAATGATA